GGGGGCGGCCCGACTGCCCGCGCCCGGCCCGTCCTGGGGGTGGGGTAGGGTGGAGTGTCCGCCGGCCACAGCCTGCGCGCCCGCCGCGGTGCCGGGGGAAGGGGGTGTCCGCACGCCGCTCCCGGGGTCCGCGAGCTGCTCGCCCTGCCCCGCCCGCCGCACCCCGTCACCTTTTCCACCTTTTTTTTTTGCACCTTTTTCCCAAGAAGACTAGTTCCCCCTCTTAAACAGAATCCGCAGAACCCGCGTAGATTCACAACCCTCCCCGCCCCCGTTCAGACTCCTGGTTCCTCTGTTAACACAACTCTAATTCAGACAAGATCTCCCCCTTCTCTGGGCGGCCGCTCAGTGCCCCGCACTCTCTTTTTACAGGGCCCCCTCCCACCCCACCCCGCCAAATCCCTGGTTGCTCTCGGCTGCAGCTCTATCCCCCGCACCCCGCATTCACCCCTCTGCTAGATTCCTCTCTCCCCTGTAACCAACTTGGGCTTCCAGGGGTCGGGACCATCGGGACATCTTAGCGACCGCGGCCCGCCTTTCCCAGGCAGCGGCCTACATCCCACCGCCGTGGCCCAGGATGCCAAAGAAACTGCCAGGGCGTCCTTTCTGTGGACAGAGAGTACCACACTCTTGAAACGTTTCCGCTTGCCCCTGGCTGGGAGAAGGCAAGTGTTCACCAAATGTGTCTGAATCTGTATGGCTGTATATTCGTAACATCAGCTGGGGAGCATGCTTCCATGTTCAAATCCCAGTCGTAATATAAAATAGGCCGGCGCCTCAGCCAACAGAGCTGTCTCTGGTTCTTGCGAGCCCTCTCCACCCCGCCCTGAGGGCTCCTCTGTTCCCTGAAAGGCTTTCTCCCCTAAGGAGAGAGTCCTGGGTGGGTGGTGTCCTAAGAGGTGAACTGTCACAACTGAAGGCCTCTGAAAGCCGCCCCTCCTGGGGGCTCATGCATTCACTTTAAAAAAGCTTATTCCAGGCCTCTTCTGTGCCGGCCCAAAGCCATCGCCCTCCTGCCTGCCTCCACCTGAATTGCCATTCCTGAGCTTAGGAATAACAGGAACCACTCCAGCCTGATAAAGCATTCTGTGATTATCCCCAGGGAACTGGCTTCTTAACCTTGCCTATTCTGCAACTTACGGTTTAACCTTCACCGCTGGGTGGTAGAAGTCTCTAGGAATTGTGAAACATCAAATTAACAAACACCACTGAAGGAGCCCTTTAGGTACAGGGCCAGTATTCCCTGATGCAACAGACACTCCGACCTGGGATGGCTCCGTCAACGGCAGTGATGGCTACTGGGGTCCTTTCCGAATGGCCAGTTCTCCCACTTCCCAGGGCACCCCCAAACAGAAGCACTGCTGGGAGTATTTTTGTAGGCTGGCTGTATTGAAACTTGGTTGTCTCATTTCAAAACAGTTGTGGAGCCCAGAAGGCATCCGAGGATATTGCTTTAAAATCTTGACTTGATGGTGTAAAACTGATCCCTTTTCCCAAGATTTTGGGGGTCTGGGGCAGGAACCGGAAGAAGAATGAGATAAAGACGCGTGAACACTTATCCTTTACAACCTAGGAACAAAAATCACAGAAGGGAAACAGAACTTGAAGTCAGAGTTAACGTTAGGATTTGCAAGGCAGCTTTTACTTTTTTTAAAGTTCTTAAAATGTCAATCATACTTCTTTTGGCATTTTATGAAGAAAAAAAAACCCAGAAGAACAAAATTTTAACCCCACAATAAAGAGATCCTTTAAATATTCAGCATTGTTTTTAACACAGAAGTTACAGTACTCTCTAGACCAAAATAAAATCCTCAGAAGGCAGGACTATGCAGCCTGCTGTCCTGCTGGGCAGTTTGCACATTGCACAAAGCCGTGGAGAGGTGGGTGGGGCTGAGGTCCACCAGAGCTCCGCTCACCAAACCCTTTTCCCCAGGGGGCCCCATGGAAGGGGCCTCTTTGAATTACCTGTCCAAAGGGGGCTTTTTTGGGTATTCACATGAAGGTGATTTATAGGCCAGCTGTAACCTTGATACTAAAGATACGCCCCCAGAGCTGCAAACAAACAAACAAACAAATACGTAATTGCATGAACAACAGAATGTGAAGCTTTCGCTTCACGAACAAACAAGTTAGGTCTCATCTCCCAGAGCCCTGCCTGCTGCACGTTAGTGCCATCAGCATGTCTCCTCAATTGTGCTGCATGATTCAGAATGACTGGCAGCCTTCCGGTGTCAGGAGGAAGGGGATGGGCAGAGCTGGGGAGGGGCTTGGCCCACTGCCTGTTCACATCAGGTTGATTTCAATAGGCTGTGACTCCTTAAAAAAAAACTGTATGAAACCCAAGAACTACTTCCCCCTACTCTCTTACCCAAACTCTGGAAACGAGTCATAATATTAGAAATGGCTGGGCACAGGGATCCCTTCAGCCATGCTGCATTCATGCAGAAATTTACAGGGTAGTTTTCTTCAGTCTTGAAGGAGGTAAAAATTTTGCTCTGCATAGCCCCCAGGGCAAAAGTCTACAAGCAGATGAGAGGCCCCCATGTTCTAGAGTCCGGGACCCAGGCCCAGGCCTCAGGCACCCACGGATTGGAAGAAGTACTATGTGATCAGGGTTAGCTTGTTTTAATTAAGCACTCAGACTAGACTGTGTTTGTTCATTTATTTCTTCCATTAGACTAGAGGCTACTTGAGGGTAAGCACTGTCCTATTTTATGTTGTAACCCCAGCACCTGATCTGGTACCTGATACAAAGGAATATCTGCTGAAGAAATGAGTGAAAGTTCAGAAAACTTTGAGCCCCCTGTGGAATTTTTCTTGAGAAAGTGTTTTTAACACATAAATATTTCTTTCTGATTTCCTGAGGCTAAATTGAGCAATCCAGACACATCACAGGGTTAAGAATATGTTTGAACATATCCTTTGGGTTCTGAACTCATCTATTGACAGTTGAACTTGTCACCGAGAAAAGAGCATGAACGTTTCACTTATAGGGCATTACTGGGGGGAAAAAGGTAACATTCTACAGTTTTCTGACTTTGATTATACTAGATAGCTTTCTTAGTGCACGATTCTGCTACATTTCCACATACATTGAGCTTATAAAAATATTTTTCTTCCTAAAAGGACTTGGATAACGACGAATATGTCTGTTTTAAATATACTACTTGGCATATTCACATACATTAGCTCATATGATTCTCCAAGCAACCTGGCAGGTGGATTGAGTGAATGTCACTATTTAGCAGTTCATAGAAAAGGGCATGAGCTCCTTTAAAGGATCTGTCAGTGGCAATGACAGTGTTAGAGGCTTCTAGGCTTGATCTTCTAATTCCTGTTTCGATGTTGGAATAGCCCACTCTAGAAGTGAGAGCGTAAAGTGTTCTATATGTATCACAATCATTTGTTGACGGATCCTGCCACTGACCAAGAGAGTTTCAAACATTTATCATCTTTACCAGTGATTTGCAAAAGTTTTTACCGGAACAAGATTTTAACTCATGCTTTCCTACCATCTGTTTCCCATCCCAGCGGTGGCTGCCACGTTGGCCCGTTGGCGAACTACAGAAAGGGGGAGGCCACCTTTCAGAAGGTGGCATGTTACCGGTCGCTTGTTATCCTGTTGTGGGGTGAGGGAGGGTAAGCCTGAAGATAAGAATGGATAGTCAGACTTCCCACCCCACTCAGGAAAAATCTCTCTTCAAACACATCGCCCACCTCGGACGGGTTCACTGCACATCGTTTGGGTTTTACCACATCCCTGCACTTATATCCTGCTCTTGTCCGAAGGGAGGTTGGCTCTACTTTTCAAATGTGAGCTGTGTTTGGAGAGGAAGGAGAAGCGATCCTGTGCCTGGGCCAGCCTGAGTCGGGCTCAGGGCATAGCTCTCTCTGGGAATCCTCTACAACCAGAGGCCGGGGTCCCAGGATGTGAGGGGACGGAAGTCAGGATGGTCAGAAAGAAAGCATGGCTTCTTTAGCCATCTTGCCTAGCGTCCTCAGATCGTCTAGTTTATGAAGCTCAATAACCATTTAACCCTGACTTAGGAGAATCCAACATTCTTGAAGGAGCTGGGCAAAGCTGATGCGTCAGGATGTCCCTAACAACAACCTTTAGAACTGCAACAAGTTGGAAGTAACCCAGTGTATAGTAGGGATTAGTTAGATAAACCTCCATCCCCCCTAAGTGGACGGTGTACGCCGTCATCGGAAACTGGGTTGTGAAGGCTATCTGACAGGAGAGGGATCACAGGAGAATTTGTCATTTCCCCTCCCTTGTCATCACTCACCCCGCGTTTCCTCGGGGAATCACTCCCTCTCCCACTCAGTCCTTGGGTTTGGTCTCCACTGACAATGGGGCGTGGGCTTGAGACAAAGCCTGCGGATGAGAGCAGCACCTTCCCCAACCAGAGGGGTGAAGCCCCAACGGGCCACTGAGAGCCAAGGGGACTCAGTTCTTGTTGGAACTGGTGGGAAAGAGGGGGCCTCTTTCCCCTGAGATGCAGGCACCAGGGACCACTGCACAAAGAATCTGCGGGAGGTTACGGCCAGCCTAGCCTCCAGGAAGGATTGCTGAGGGCTGCATTTGAGCACCTGCCTTTTCGGTTACCCAGTCCATAAATTCCCTTTGCGGCTCAGCCAGTGTGGGTTGGGTTTCTGTCATTCGCAATGGAAAGAGTCTTGACCAGTACAGACACTCACAATATATCACTGAGGTTTCAAAACATTATGTTCCAGCTGAGGCTTTTTTTTTTTTTTTAGTGCATACCATATATTTTTGCAGGTACACCAAAAC